AAATGTGAAATTGCTCTCCAACACTTTACATGGTTTGAAGAATTAATTTTATTGCCACTTGCATTTTAAACTAATTGACATGCATTAATATGAGTTAGTTGAACCTTAGTTATTGTGTGGTTGTATTCACCCTACTATCTTCAATATTTCAGGTAATAGCTTGAGAGAATCGAAAAGATGAAAGCACCCGGAGGCTTAGGACTGCGATCCTTTTATTATGCCTCTTATTTTTGGAGCCATTATATATTTGATAATTTCAATTGCCAACTAGGGATAGTTCATTTAATCCTTACTTGTATTATGTGTTTTGTGAATTATAAGTATTTTGGGCCATAGGGAATGAGCTTATAAAATGTGATATTTATGATAGAGCCAAAATATTAATGCAAGTAAGAGTTGAGCATATTATGTGCTGATTATAGATTATTTAATAAAAATATACTTAAACTCTCCCTTGTATGTTTTTGAGATTAAGGGGTTGAGTAGTGAAATTGTGATCTATGAGTGTTTAATGTGATATGGTGCATTATACGAGTTAGGTTTGGTGCTTTGCATATGTTCAAATTGGTGTCAATGGCTATCGGCTTTCGATAAATGGATTGGGTACTTGGTTTTGCGAAAATTATTGCAAAAGTATAATTTTTGAAAGAGTACTCAAATTTTGATTGAGTACTAATTTGATTATGAAACTAAAGCCATTAGTTAGATCTCAAAAAGAGCTTTTCGTAAACATTTAGTTCGCGTCAATCGTATGTTGGACGAAGAATTAGGACACGTCAAAAGTTGCCTTAAAAGTTGTCAAATTGATAGCAAAATTTATTATCAAAAATCATGCAATTGCGATGCGGTGCATGATGTAGAGGCGAACACATTGCGGCACTTATTCGATGAGTTGTAGCACATGCCCCAAAAAGTTTGCAGAATTTATTTGTTTTAAAACCTTTAGCAAATGCACTTATATTTAAAATGATCCCATACTTTCTCATATTTGTGAAATTCTAATTTGTCTATTTGGAAGACCTTGAAAGATGGTTTTAGTTTTATAAACTTGGGATCTCAACTTTTTCACTTATTGATAATTTGGTATTATGTTAATTATCTTAATCCAATCTCTTTATTACTTGAGATTTGGAGTTAATCATGGTTAGAAGGAGAAGGACATTACATTAACTCTATGAATTTTTGCTAAACTCTTATTCAAGGTAGGAAGTAGGCTAATTGTGATGGATTTGCTCTTTTATTTGGTTATTTTATTTTTCTTGATGAATATTAATTTTTGTCTATGAGAATTTATGTTTGCTTTTTTATTTATCTCTCTTGTTTTAATTATTCTTCACATAGATTGCTGCTATATAGATTGTTTGTGGATAGTTTGATGAACTGAAAAGTGAAAAAGTTACTTAGATGTAGAGATATATACACAGATAATGAAGAAATAATTTAGGAGCTTGTGGTAAATTAGATCATAACTTCATGATTTAGTTAGCTAACTAGAGAGTATAATTTAGTGAGAGTTAAATTTAATTCTAATTAAACCTAATATACTAAAAAGCAATTAGGACATCTTAGAAATGATTGTCACTATAAAAGAAAGGAAGATAATTAATTGAATTAGAATAATCCATCTTCATAGGTGAACCCTTATTCTTGGCATTCGTTTGATTTGTTAGTTCATCGTGGTCATCACCTTTGTCATTTTCTTATTTATTTGCAATATATAATTATTTAATTCAAATCTCTTTTCAAAAGTCTTATTTGTTTTCTTAAATAACCAAATTAAATATCACCATTTTTCTTTTGGTTCAACTCTTGGAATCTCTTAGATTTATAACTACATTAATCTTAGGCACTTACAAGGCCGATGAGATATTCCTTGGTGCCTCACCACAATGGAGTAGGAAATATTTATACTAGTTTTAAGCAGACAATAACTTAATCTCAAAGAGGGTTACAGGGATTACAAAGGCTAAATTGATAGAAGTGATGGGGTTATGAGTACTTATAATTAGAGTTTATGGGTATGGGAGATACAAGGGAGTTCTATTTGTTTGTTTTTGGAATTAGAAGGGTAGGCTAATGCTGAGGTTATGTAAAATTGAACTCACGACCTCCCATTTGCAAGCACGCATGCTACTAGGCTATAAGGTCATTACCACTCATTGGTTTTGGTTTTGCATTCATGGGTTTGTTTCATCCTTCCTAGGGTAGAAGATTGAATTTTCCCTTGAGTCATTGCCTTCAAATTTGCATGGTAAAAGGTCAACAACATTAAAAGTAGTACTGTAGTAGAGACTCCATATAGGAGCTTGGAAGCTCTACCTTGCAAGCTTGATTGGTTATGTTCTGCACAATTATGAACTGACCATCAATTCTAGGTGATAACTTAGCTTTGCAATTGGTTGTTTTGGAAATCTTTCCTTCCATAGGTGTATCTTTACCAAGTTTCCAACTTTGAAATTAAGTTTGTTGCCTTCCGTGCTTGTCATATCGAGCTTTGGATTTCAAGTTCAATATCTGAATCGGCTTTAATTTGTTACTGCAACTTTTTTATTTCCTTTTCCTTTGGTCCGCATTGACACTGTAATGCTGCTTGTCAATCAAAGGGTTCAAATTCAAAGGACTTAATGGATGAGTGCCATAAACTACTTTGAATGCACACTTTCCCAGACCTTGATTGACTAAGTTTTTGTGTAAGATTATAGAGACCGAAAACACATCTATTAATTGCACTGGTTGAATCTCTGTGGGAGCGGAATTACCATGGGAATTCGGTTCGGGCTTACAGCAAATGTCACACAAAGAAGAAGAGAGTTAGGGAGAGAAGTTATTGGCTCGGTAGAGTGCTGGGAATGTTTGGCTTCATGCACTACCCCAATCTTTTATAACTCCCACGCATGGAATTGTTTTAGACGTGTACGTAGTAACTGTTCCCTCTTACAATTCAAAAGGATCAAGGGAATATTACACTCAAGTGCCTAATTTTACTACACTTAAGAACCCATATTTCTCCATTTTCTGATAAAGTCTCTCATGGGTTATATTAAGCCTAATCCATCAGAGGTAGATAACGACCAACATGCATGTTGCAAGCAAACTTGGCAGGGCTTTCATCTTCATTATCTTTAATTGTTTCTTGACAAACTACCGACACAAGTGGCTTGAATTCCTTCTTGCCTTTGTTGTATTCAGTAGGCATAAAGGAATAGGTGTTGGCAAAAGGTCATCCAAGAAGAAGATGATAGGCATCCACAAGAGCAAAGTTGACACGCCATAGTATAATTTAGAATTAAGGTATAATTTTATCCTTAAACTATTTTTGAAGGAGTAATATTATTCTTAAATTATTCATCGTAGTTTTGTTATCTCTAAACTAATTAAATTAAAATAATGTTACCCTTAATGTTAAAACGTTTGTCACTTTAGCTAGTGAGACATACTTTTCATGAGTTAAGATACAATTTTGCCCTTAAATTATTTTTAGAGGAGCAATGTTGTCCTCATAGTTTAAAAATCATAAAATTAAATAAAAATAAAATTATAATAATATTAAATGAAAATAAAATTATATATATATATATATATAATAAATATAAGAAAAAATATAACTTATAATTTTATAACTTGTTAGATATAAGTGAATTTTGATTAAATTAAATATAAGTAGACTCAAAATTATTTACATTTGCGCCTGTAACTATCACCATCTTTATAAAAAATAGTTTTAAATCTTATTTTATATGTGTGAATTGTTTAAAAATAAAGTTGGCTTTTAGTAGAATCTAATTTTTAAATTTTTTTAAAATTTTTTAATATTATATTTAAAACTATCCGGTCTTCTAAAAATCATTCGGGTTCCTACTTTAACTTTAATTTTTAGCTTAATAGCGGCTTAACTCTTATCCAATCAAGCTTAATTATGAAAATAATTTTTGGTCCAAATCGAGACATTAATGACAACTTCGCTTGATAGTTATAAGTGCAAGTGTAGATGTTTTTGAGTCTACTCATATTTAATTTAATCAAGATTTACTTATATTTGATAAGTTATAAAATTATAATTTATAATATTATTAATTTTTGACATTTTATTAACATACTATAATTTTTTTCTTATAATTATTTTATATATACACTTAATATTATTTTTATTTAATATTATTATAATTTTATTTTTATATGTATATTTAATATTATTTTTATTTAATTTTATGATTTTTAAACTGTGAGGATAATACTGCTTCTTTGAGAATAGTTTAGGAACAAAATTATACTTCAACTCATGAAAAGGGGGTCCTACTAGCTACAATAACGAACGTTTTACTAGCAAGGACAACATTGCTCTAATTTAATTAGTTTAGTGGCAACGTTACTATAAGGAATAGTTTAAGGACAATATTGTTTCTCCAAGAATAGTTTAAAGACAAAATTACACCATAATCTTATAATTTATTTAAAAGGCGTGCACGTAAATCTTTGTAGGATATTTTATGAGTAGCTATGGTTTTACTTTTATACCCCTTTACTGTAATAACTCAATAATAAAATGCTTGGCAAAAAATAAATAATGAAATAAAAGAGGATTCCCTTGATCTATTTTTGGCGTAGGGGTCATCTTATTTTAGACCATTATGTTAAAGGGATGACATATACTCCACAAATTGGTCTGATTTGGTTCCCTCTCTTTCGGTCGTTTTACAGACAAGACAACTTCCAAATATCCTTTTCCACTCCATTTTTCACGGCAACCACAGGACCGCTTCTCCCAATATTCCTTCCTTAATTAATTCCCCTTTCCAACTTCACCTAATCAATTTCTTTTATCGTGTTTACTCAATACAATTTTCGTCTTCATTAATTCTGCTTCAGTTTTTGAAATTAAACCTCATTCATATATATATATATATATATATTATTTTCATTTTTCTATTTTCGTTTGTTTTGAGATTGAGTTGCTTCTTTTTTTTAATTTTTTTATCTGGCAATCCAATTTATATCTTCAATCTAGTTTCCAAACCCTACTGATTTTCAAATTTTCATTTTCATTGGCTTCATGTATTGAGTGGTTCCTCCTCCTCCTCCACCCTTTCTTTTTTCCCTTAAAAAAAAAAAAAACTTGGCCATTCAATATACTGTATCTTCAATCTTGTTGAGTTTTGGTAATTTTTCCCTTTTTTTTTTCGTTTCAGGAATTGAGTGATTCTCTACCACTTTTTTGTTATTTACTTAGCGATCGATCGAATTCGTTTCATCAATCGGGATGATCTGAAACCCCATTAGTTTTCTTTCTCGTATTTCCATTTTTTTTTAGTTTCAACAATGAAGTGATTTCATCCCTTTTCTCTTTCTCTTTCTCTTTCCTCCTTGGTGATCATTGAAGCCTTTCACGGTGTATATACATTATGCGAAATTTTTCTTGCAATCAGTGTGATTTTGTGAGCGAAATTGTTATTAGATTTTAAGAAGGAGATGGCCAGATGGGGTTTCCATAAAGCTCAAAACTAAATATTTGGATTTTTGTCAGAAATATTGAGGTGTTCAATTCGGTCGGCTTATCGAAATTACAATCTCGGAGAGATGAGTTGCTTTCCTTGTTTTTCATGCAACGACAAGAAAGCAGCACCGAAGAAGCCCAAACAAGGAATTAGGGCGCAAATGCAGCCATGTCAACCTCAAAAGGAAGCCCTACTTCCTCGGGCCCACCCTGGTAATTAAACTGGTCGTTTTCCACCTTCATTTTCTTTTTTATCTCAAGTTTCTAATTAATAGATTTATGAAATAATAATCAAGGTGAGAAAAAATTTATTATCTTACATTTATTCGTAGTAAATTGGATCCGATATTTAAACGGTACATTTGATATGATATACGTTTCTTTTGGATCATATTTTCTTATTGTATATATAATAATGATGTTTCTTAGCTTGGCGTTTTATAACAAGGACCGGAGGAGGGAGTAAGTTTGAGAGTTCAATTCTAATAATTATAAAAAAATCATGTTAAGAGAGCTATTTTAATTATGCCAGAACACATCCGAAAGTAAACGTGTCAAATATTTTCAAAGCCAACTGATATAAGTTTCTGCGTGTGCTGATATAAATTTGCATCTGATGCATCAATGTTGCGTCCAGAGAATAATTATTCTTCAAAGCCAAACGAGGGAAGACCAAATAATTATAGTAATGTCAACAAAGACGGCGGCAGCAATAACATCGCTGCGGAAACTTTCACCTTCAGGGAATTGGCCGCCGCCACAAGGAACTTTCGGCGAGAATGCCTCATTGGTGAAGGTGGTTTTGGAAGAGTTTATAAAGGAAAACTCGACAAAACCAACCAGGTATTGTATTTCTCAATTAATGACCCTCACTGTTTCATGTCAAAGTTCCCTTTTCTCTCACTTGCCATGGTTTTTATACCTCTGGTTTTCTCGTTCTCTGGTTTTTCACTGTTAAGAATTGATATTATGACACAATAAATGTGTTTGGTAGAGCTTCGCAGAAATTATTATCATTTCAATTTGATCTCCTAAGGTGTACTTTTTTCTTCCTAGACATGGATTTTCTTTTTCATTTAATTTCCCGGTCCAAGTCTTCGAAGCTGAGACGAGAAGGACATTGATGACCAAAGTTAAGAAAGAACATATTAACGAACAAAGTGACAAGATAGTCGATCATGTTTGGGTAGGAATAAATTACAGCAATAATTTACTTTTATTTTAAACGTTGGGGCCACCTAAAAATTTGTTGACAGAAAATAATGTAGTTGTCAAAAATTGAGTAATGTCATAGACGTTGTCCTAAACGATTATTCTGCCTATATAGGTGTCAAAATAAAACAGACTCTTAACTTCTTAGATTAGACTCAACACAATAATTGCACGAGTTATTAGAACTTATAACCCACAGATGAAAGAACAACGCAGTAGGAATTTTAAGATTAAAGAAGTAGGGAGTCTTTTGAGGGGAAAGAGAAACTAGGAAATCTTCGTCCCATTTTTCTATTTCAGCTAATATCAAGAAAAGCTAATGAAGCTGCTAATTTTCTTGCTAAATAGGCGCTTTTCTGTGTTGGTTTTCACCCTTTACTTGTTCCCCTCCTTAGTTTTAGTTTTGCAATGGGACCTTAAAAAAAGAGTTAAGAATTATTTCTGTTTTAACTTTTCTTTCAGCGTCCGCACAGTACCTTGAACTGGATTGTTAGTCATTTTTGTCCTTAAATATTTGAAATCTTTTGCATCATCATCTAATGTTAGTGCACTTAATAATAGTTGTTATGTGAGTTCTACCATTTATATTTTTTAATATTTTTATAAGAGTTAAGGGTCATTTTTATTTTTAAACTTTTTTGAGTCTGCAAGTACCCTGAATTTAATTTTGAATTTTTTTTATCTTTGAATGCTTTAAATTATATTTTTATAATAAAAAATTACACCTAGGTTCTCGTCTTCTTCCTCTCCCCTCTCTCCTATCTTGCGTTCTCTCTCCTCCATTCCTCTAGTCACATTTTTGGGCTCAGCCAAATTACTATCTCAATTGCAAAGGGTGGAGGGAAGATTATTTTATCATTTAACTTCTTGTACAATCAAACCAGTGGTTATTTAAGGTACACAAATCAATGCATTAGAAGAAGATATGGAATTACATATATGCCAGACAGCCAAAAGACGAAAGTTAAGGATAACAAAAATTTTCGAATACTTTAATTATATATATTAGATCTTTTTGAAACATTTTATTGTAATATAATTCCTACAAAATTCAGCTATAAAACAAAAAAGGAAGACAATAATTCTTAACTTCACATACAAGCCTAATCTCTAAATAAAAAACAACTGTAATGATTTTGAGATAATGAAGGCATAGACTTGTATTACGTTCGAATTTGGAGAGAATGGCAGTTAGATTTTGGTGATTTTTAACTTTCAGATTATAGCTGTGAAGCAGCTGGACAGAAATGGATTGCAGGGAAATAGAGAGTTCCTTGTTGAAGTGTTGATGTTAAGCCTCTTACACCATGGAAATCTGGTGAATCTTATTGGATATTGTGCGGACGGAGATCAAAGATTATTGGTGTATGAGTACATGCCTTTGGGTTCTGTAGAAGACCATCTTCTTGGAAAGATTCGATCCCTCCTTATTGTTCAACTTAATTATTGAGACCAGGTTAAAGGAAGATAAGTATAATTAATGAATTAATTATATTGTGTGATACAGATCTAGAACCTCACGAGAGGCCGTTAGATTGGTCTGTGAGAATGAAAATAGCATTGGAAGCATCCAAAGGTCTAGAATATTTGCACGATAAGGCGAATCCTCCAGTGATATACCGAGACTTGAAGGCCTCAAATATATTGCTGGACAAGGGGTTTCATGCAAAGCTGTCGGATTTTGGACTGGCCAAGCTAGGACCCACAGGAGACAAGTCTCATGTCTCCTCCCGGGTTATGGGAACCTATGGCTATTGTGCCCCAGAGTATCAAAGAACTGGCCAGCTCACCGTCAAATCTGATGTCTACAGCTTTGGTGTGGTTTTACTCGAACTCCTCACGGGAAAGCGAGTCATTGACAACACCAGACCCACCCGCGAGCAAAATCTTGTTTCTTGGGTCAGTTCCTGATCCATCGATCAAATTAATCAAGTGGAATATTAAACATATTCCTGCTGGTTAACTTAATCATTACTTCATTCATCTGCAGGCAAGACCAATATTCAAGGATCCTAATAGATACCTTGAGCTGGCCGATCCCCTTCTCCAAAGAAACTTCCCCGTCAGAGCTTTCAACCAGGCAGTGGCAGTGGCCGCCATGTGCCTTAACGAGGAACCCTCTGCCCGGCCATTGATCAGCGACGTCGTCACCGCCCTTACTTTTCTCGGCACAGACTACGAAGCCGACCACCCTCCCCCTGCCACCGACATTATTCCCCCGTCACCACCGCAACAACATTTTAACCTTCTTGATAATGACACCATTGTCGAACGTCAACAAGCCGTTGCTGAGGCTATAAAATGGGGTTCGGCTTCAAGGAATAATGCTGTCCATAGAGCAAATGCAGGTGCAAATGCTTCCTCTTTGTAAAATGGTATATGTTAAACTCCAATTTGTATACACATGATGCAATACCGTGTATGCATCCAATAACTATGCGTGATCGAAACTTTGAATATATTATATTTGTGCGTGGTCGGTGCGTGCATGCATCTGCACATCTAGTTCCATTCAAAAGAAAATAATTAAAATTAGATACTATTTCCCAAATTATTTGACAAATCTTGACGAAAGATTCATTTCACTCACACATGTTTGGCTCATGCAGATTGAAGGTTTCTCATGTCTGAGTTTCTTTCTTAACTTTCAACTCCTAGATTGGTTTCTTGGAGTGATCGAATTCTCAAATGCAGCATACCATATGACATATATTCCTCAACGCGAATGAAAAAACTTACCTAGTATTACATTGTATTATATTGATATTTATATATAAAGAGAAACATATTACATTATACATTAATTTTTTTTCAGCTTTTTATAGATTAGTTTATATTTATTAAAAAGAAAGGAGATCTTATGTTTAATTTAAAAAACACTCACAAATATGTCCCTTAGACATCATTTCAGGATTCGATTCTTGGATGAATATATGAAAAAACATTATTTGAAAGAAGACAACTCATTAAATGATACTTAGATTCCTAAAAGGAATCATCTCATGGTTGCTAGCTGTGGGGTTATATTGAGAAAAATACACACACATATATTTTGGTGGGGCAAAAAATTTATAATCCTTTTATTTTACTGAGAACAAAATTAAAAGCCCCCTGTCTCGAGGGATGCTTACATTTGCAAATTGACTACTAAGTATATGCATAAATTAGATTCCCAATCAAATAAAATTTAACGATTAAAAGAATCTTAAAATGTTTCTATAAAAATCAGTCATATTAACTACTAAGTATATTATTATAAAATCGCATATAATACAATGAATATTAAATCACATATAAGTGAATAAAGATGTATTTGTATTTCACTGAAAATGGGTTTTATTGGAGAGACTGACAACAAAATCCTAAAAGAATGAATTAATGATAGTTTAGTTTCTGATAAAATATTTTATAAAATAAATTATAAATATCAATTTAAATAGTTATAAATAGGATTATGTTATAAATATTATATTTATAATTAAATTTTTTAAATTTATAATTATTTGAATTGATATGTGTTACTTAACCGCCGTTCTTCTTTCATTTGTGCTTAATTTTTTTATATTAAAAAAATAATGCGGTGGAATTAGCTTCCACGACGCTAAAAGCTCTCTATCTATTTGACGGCTATTAAAAGGATAACGCAGAATTGATGCTTTTGCTTTGAGAAAATTACAAATAAGTACATTATTTAGAATTTATTTATAAAAAAGTCTCACAAATATGTAAAATTACAACCAATTCTCTAACCTAGTTGTCGCTTGTCATTGGTATGAAAAAAATGAGAGTGCCCGAACTTCAAACTTGTTGGGTATTACGAAATTTCAATTATAAATTAAGTTTTTTTTTACTGTAAATTCATGAGGACCTATAAATATAAGATTACAAAAATGTCATTCTTCTCTCATGTTTATAATTGTTTTTCACAAATTTACAATTAAAATATCGTAATTTAATTTACAACTAAAATTTCGTAATATGCAATTTGATATAAGTTTGGAATTGGTACAGTGTGGTTTTTTAATTTTATTTTACACTCACGACAAATTATAACCAAGTCCTGAAGAATTTAAATGTATTTTTGTAAATCTACGAGACTTGTGTTTATGTAATTTTTCCTTTTACTTTCCTATTAATGAATGTAAAGTATTCTTTTATTTTTATTTAATTATTTTTCTAAATTTCTTATAATTTTTTATTTCTTTCAAATTTGAGATGATCCAAATTTATTTCAAAAATTTCACATATTATATTTAAGTACAAATAATTTTTTTTACTATTGAACATTTTTTAAATGGTTGCCGGCCCTTAGCTACCTCCGCCTTGCAACATTTTTTTTTTTAACAAATCATATTATTACTGAACATTTTTTAAATGGCTGCAGGTTCTTAGCTACCTCCCACCATCATAGTATTGATGAATTTCAATATTTTAATTAATTTATTAAAATTTTTATTATAATTGAAAGTTATCTAATTAAATTTATTAACAAAAATATGATTAAGTGAATATGTTTTATGTGAGAATAGATATGGCAATATGATTATAAGTTATTGGATTAAAGGTTAAGGATTGTTTTTATTTTTAAACAGTATATAAAAGATTACAAATGTCCTTTAACTCAATTGTGAGTTAATTTTATATTTCAACTTTAAATATTTCCTTCATCATCACCTTGTCATGTTCTCACAATTAGTTAATCATTAGTGGGTTTCACATTTTATTTTTTAAAATTTTTTATTATAAAATATTTGACTTGAAGGGCAAAAATGACTCTTTAAATAGAAGTTGAGAGGCAAAAAATGACCCTTAATCTAATAAAAATATTTAAAAAAAGTATGATTCACTGATAACTAACATACGTTAGATATTTTTAATATTACGGTGATAACAAGGGGAATCTTTAAAATTAAGAAATAAAATTGACCCATAGTTGAGTTTAAGGGCATTTGTAATTTTTTGTGTATAGCTCAGGGACAAAAATAATTCTTAATCCTTAGATTAATTATGGTATTAAATATACTCCCTCTGTTAAAAAATATAAAACATTTTTAACTGAATTTTACCTCTAATAAAGTAGTTATTTACTTTCAAACTAACTCTATCATTTTATATTTATCCCTATTAAACGCTCTAGAATAAATATAAAGTCACTATTAATAGGGACATTTTTTTTTTAAAAGTAATGATTACACCTCAAAAGATTAAAAATGTCTTATATTTTTAAACATTCAATTCCTTAAAAAATACCTTATATTTTTGAATAGAGGAAGTAGGTTTTATTTATATAGAGAGGTTTGATTTATAGGTCCAAAGCTTAAAGATTGAAAGCCCACGATAAATTAAAGTCTGGACAAAGTTGCTCCAACATTAAGTAGGAGTTGTAACAATAGACCAATTTCTGTCAAAACACACTTAAATCTTGTGATTTGTGAAAGAAATCATCCCTATTAAGATTTTTTCTTCCTTTTCTCTACATTTGATGTATATTTTGTTGAGTATTGTTGGATTTATGGCTATTAGTGGCTAAAACTTTCTGACCCAGGGCAACTTTGAACATGTTGGTTGATTCAAGTTTATTTTTACCCATTAGTTATGTAATGTTAGTTTTGATTGCTCAATCTTGTATTTGATTATCTATTTGATGTTCGGCCATCATTTAATATAAATATGGATGTTGGGATTTTTTCCTTAATATATGAGAATCTCATTTGGACTATTAAATTAAGTAATATGAGATTGAATTGTTTTTTAATTTGCAATTTACGCTACAAAAAAAAATACTGTGATAGCGACGGAAGCTTGCCACAGTTTTCTTAAATCGTGGGAAATCCCATTTTTTTTCAAAAAAAAAAAAACTGTCACTATAAAAAAAAAATTCCCTGAAAGCAATTAAAAAAGCCATGGTTTCGCAAACACGGTTTTGTCAGAAATTGAGCCACGGTTTCTGTCAAAATTGTGGCACCAGCCTTCTATAAAAGCCTTGCCCCCCTTCATTTCAATTTTCATTTTGGCGCGTTCTCTCTTTGCAGGTGCATGCTCCATGTCTTCTCTTTTTTTGCTACTTTTTTTTAAGTTTTCTTTTTATATTTAATATTTTTATTGTATGTTTTCATATTTTTTCAAGCACTTAAAAAATTCTCTAATTTGCTACAAATATTTGGCATTTCATTGGACACTTGAGGTAATTTATTGTCTTATTTAATGTTATACTTAAATGTTTGATTATATAGTATATCATGTATAGCATTTAGTTTGTTTTTTAATATGCATTTGATGCATGTGGATAAATTATTAGTTAAATATTTGATCATTTACTATGAAATATGATATGAATTTATGCATTAGTATTTTATTAGTTGTAATTTTTTATTATGTATTTTTATTCTATATAGAGAATAATTTAAATGTGAAATTGATGTTTAAATTTTTTTTGGCTCTACTTAAATTTATGCTGTAAATGTTGAGATTTTTGTTTTTACATTGTTTTTATTTATTTAAAGAATAAAAAGTATGTTTAAATATTATGCTTAAATATAATAAGTTGTAAATATTCTTTTATTTTATACATAAAATGAATGAATCTTGAATATCTAAAGCAACATGAGATAATATATGAATGGTCTAAAAGAATTTTTAAATTTTACTTTTGCTAATAGTGGTGTTGTGGGTAAAATAATTTGTCCTTTTCTTAAGTGTAATTTTAAACAATTAATGGAATGTTTTAGAGGAGGTTCAGATATACATGTTGGGTTTTACACGGTGAAAAATATGAATTTGGAGTAATTTATACAGTATAAATATATCTAAGGTCCCGTTTGATTACTAAAAAGGAATGGATTGAACAAATAAAGGTAAAAATGAGCTAAGTAAAAGAAATGGTGAACCACATTTATAAAGAAGAGAGGTAATTTGATTCATGAGATTGAAAATCATAATTTATGAAATTTTTGAAGGTGATGATTCCCACCTTTATAGTATATATTAATAAGTTTGATCATACTTACCATTAAAGAGAATGGTGATTTAGGTCATTTTTATATTGATTTTTTCAATCAATTTCATTTCAATAATCAAACGGGACCTTAATGCCCTATATAATCTAATTAGAATGAGTTAAAATTGAATTTGCCTCTTGTATAATTTTGTTAGAAATAATTTAATTAACTTGGAAGAGAGCTATAGAAGGTTTGAAAGGCACTTATAAAGGTACTCATAACTATCAATACTTTATATTAACAAAATTAGCATTAATTTTTTTAATTGAGTAATAGTAAAGTTTATAAAGTTAGCAAGGGATTAATAACTCTAGATTTCTTCGATATAAGTGATATTCAGATTAAGAATCTAATTGTATTTTATTAAATTCAATTTCTAATTTGGGTTAATCAATCAATTCTAATTAGTTTTGCTTTTTTTTTGGACCAAAATAGACCATTTTGTTAATATCATCAAAACAAA